ATACAGGAGAATGTGGAGATATCAACTAAAAACGAAGACGAAACCGATTAGAAGTACAGCTACTACGATGGCGGTGGACAGGGCGCCTCCTGCCGCCGGTTTGGCCACTGTCCTGGTCCGGGTTGGATTCACGGTGTTAGCCCAGCCGTTCATAATAGCATCCCGGGCCCCCTTCCAGGGATGGGGCCCGTTGAGACGGTAAGTGGGTGGATAGGCCGGCCCAAAGAAAGTACGAAGAGCTAGTCTAGGGTCGGTGAGGAGGAGTTTGATGAAATTAGGCCGCGCTCCAAACTTGGCGGCAACTTCCTCGCAGTAAGGGACTGGATAGCACTGTAAAGAAGTAAAAAAAGTTGAGGGTGCTTTGTGTAATTATGTTAAAGTGAATATTAAATCGTTTCCCAAAGTCAACTCTTTGATGACACGGATGACACAGATGCATGTTCTCAGCCTGAGATTATTTGTGAGTAGAGCGATCAGTCTGAGAGAATGGCTTTGTAGCAAGAGATTAACTTCACGTTATTTGTTTTGAACAGAAGTATGATTACGATCCTATTTTTACGAAAAGCTACACATTGTAAGAACCCCCCTCCACATTAATGACTCACAAATATACGATGTCTCCCAAACTTCTGGAAGGCAGCGTCCTTGCGTCGCTTCACATCCTCTAACCTTTCATCAATACTGGGAAGCTGGGCGTTCCCCAGGAACACTTGTACGACCCAGCGCGATTGGAGCTCAAACAACGGGGTCTGGGCGCCCAAGGCAGACACGACGCCGACGGCGGCCATTGTTGGGTGGGCACGGCGCGCCGGCCAGACGTGCATATACAGCTCCAAGTCGGCAAAATTATCTGTGGAATTCAAATCAGTGGTGTGTTGATCGACTTGAACGATAATTCCTAAATCTTGCTTATCAGAGGGAATACAAGGTTTGTTGATTCATATTATGGAGCTGTACTCGGCCGATATGTCAAAGCTCCTCGGGTACTTCGTGTGTATTTTCATTTGGACAGCATTTCCTATATGACATTCGGTGGGAGTTGGAATCAACCTGGAATATTGCACTATGCAATGCCAGTCACAGTCAAAAGAATCTTCAGTATTTGGGTATTTTCTTCCAGATTAATAAAAGCGGAAAGACTCATCCTATTTATTCAATTGTGCAACATTCAACTCTTTCATTGATTTTGCTTATTGATTTTGGCAAAAAAGTGAAACCTACAGCTCACGCGTTGCTTTGAAAAACACCAAAATTCTTAAGCTGTTTTCAAGCTCCTTTACAAAACATTGTTCACCTGCAATGATGGAGTTGTCCTCAAAGAACGGAAAACTGAGTTCGTATCCAGTGGCAAAGACTACGGCGTCCAGGCCGTCAACTCGCGTACCGTCCTCGAACACCACGCCCCCCGACGTGAAGTGCTCGACGCCCGGCTTGCACTTGAGGGCCCCGCAGATGATGCGGCACTGAATCTCATCGTTCACCATCATGTAGCCGTCAAAGAGTTGCCTCTTACAGCGCAGGCCGAGGTTGTCCGGGTCAAAGTGGCCCTCGAAGAGCGGCTTAGCCATCCTGCGCCTGATTGCCTCCGGCACCATCGACTTCCAGCGATGGTTGCCGAAGGCATCCGTGGGCATGCCCCCTGGGCCAAAACGGCCGATGACCCAGGCACCGTCTCGCATACTCAGGTACACCTGTAGCGCGCATTAAAAAGTTTGATCAATGGAAACGTCTCGAGGCCCATGAAAAAGGACAGTCCATCAGTGGCGAATGACTCTCCATCAAGTGTAAAGTTATCCGCCCCGAGCAGAAGCGCACCCCCAATCGGCGAAAGAAACACAGGTGGTTACAAGCTAAGACCATACAAGCCGGAATAAGTTAGTTAGGCGTAATCGGTGTGCTCCGCGTCAAACACGCATATTATGGCGCGCCTATACTGAGCACCGAAAAAACACGCCCTCTTTTGTTCCGCTCGGAGCGGATTTAGCAGGAAAGGATTAGGCCTATAATGTGTGAAACACAAAGTTAACTGATGCCAGTAAAGTTCCTATTAGGCCTATTATTACTAAACCGGAGTGTTGCACAGGCATATAGACACTGCATAAAATGATGTGGTATTATTGCATGGAACCTAATCTCCCATTTTACAAACGCCTCCAAGATTCAGCATTATATAAGATGTTAGACGTATCTCCAGAACTTAATATGTACCTGTTTTGCGTAACGGCTTGCGTCGACAGCTACGTCCCCGGCCGAATGGGAACCACCTTCCCCAAAAAAATATCGGGACACGGAATTAAAATCAAATACTACTGAATGTAGTAAATTGTACAGCTGGACGGAGTTGGAAAAAACCTGAATTAAAACTAAACTGAACAGTTCTTTAAATTAATAATACTTGTCATGTCACTGTCCATTTAATTGGGTGACCAAATGACCATGTAACGATTCACTTGACTCAGTTTGAAATATACAGTTTGGTCGACTTCGGGCGGCCTGTTCTTGACACGGATTTCTTGTTCTCGCGCTCGAACGGCGGGAACACGACCCAAGAACATTGTTTTCGGAACAGGATCGCGCACCACCCCCTCGTCAGGGTTTTACAGGAACACACGGAAAAACTCGTGAGATTTTGATTTTTGAACAGCCACAAAAATAGCAAGATGACTTACAAAGCCAGAAAATGGGATTTGCAAAATTAATATTGATAATTTCCGTAACAGAGAAATGAATATTCCTTTTCATTCAGTTATCCGAACATTAACCCTTGGAGAACGCACATGAACGCCGCCATGTTGCATGCCACTGGTACCAACAATAACCAGTTGTCGGCTCCCGACGTTCGAGCGGCCAACCCACAAACAACAAATCGAGCTGTTCGTGAACATGCAAGACCGAGCCGCCCCAACTCAGCCATTGAGAAAACGTCAATTGACTAGCGACTTCATTACTTATGATAACAAAACCAAATGCAAAAATTACCAACGACGAGAACAGTTTTCCCGGCAAACTGTTCACCGCTCCTGAATCGATTGCTGTGCAAGATCTCGCCCGTAAACTCCCCCTGTCCAGGGTAGTTGGGTACAACAGCCGTGTTATACATGCCAGTCGCGACAATCACGGCATCGAACACCTCTGAGGTGGTGGCGTGCTCTGCCGAGTCGCCACGGCGTCTCGGCTGGGACCACACCTCCCACTGTCCTGTAGTCTCATGGTCCTCGCTCGGTGCCACCTTGGTCACCTCGGCGGCCAGCCGGATGTGCCGGTCCAGCTTGAAGTGGCTGGCAAAGTCGCGGTAGTACGCGAGGAGGTGCCTCGGGGTGAGGTAGGGAGGGTACTCCCTGGGGAAGGGAAAGTCGCTGATCGCCGTCATCTCTTTGCTGGAGTTGGTCATCAAGCATTGGTACACAGTGCCTCCACGAACACCCTCCCAACTGGTCAGCTCTGGAGTTAACCAAACGCCCCCTGAGAGAAACAAGTTGATGTTCACAAAGACCGTATACGAATGCACAACTCGACCGTCGGTTCGCAAAGATGCCAAAACACTCCCTCTTGTGAGGGAGAAGCCCCCGGCACCGCTATGGGTGCACTGCCCAATTCAAGGGAAATTCTTCGGCAGGCCGAGGCGCTCAAAAAGTACCCCTACAGTTTATTTGGAAAAGAGGAGATTGTGTGGCTCAAGAATTTGTGGGATTGTAAAAGAATGGCCCAGAATGAACTCCCTAGATTCAAGGGCTCCCATCCCAGGGCGAAGCATAGAAAAATGCCACTGAAAAATTGTCCCAAGAGCCTGAAAAGATGGAGGGATGTCATTTGAAAAATGGCCGCTGACAGACTTGGGAACGTTCACTTTTTGGAAGGTGAGTTTGTTTTGGGTGGATAATTAAAAATTTCATTGGTTAACCTACTAAAAATTGACAATCAATTGAGAGCTAAATGACCCCAGAACACTTTGTTTTTTGTTTGAGAGGCCTGAGGGACTTCGGTTGCCCGCACCGGGGCTGCAAACGTGGTCGATTTTACATTGTCTTCAATGGGGCTTCAATTAGTTCAGTGCACCCCTATGTGTTTACGCCCTCGTAAGGAAATCGTACACGTTTCGGCACAGAATCGTACGAGGCCGACCACCACGTTATATAATGCCTGCCTGCGTGCCGCTGCACATCTCTTGCGTAAATACGAGCAAGCGTGTCTAGTCCAGGGGCTCTTGCGTGTCCGGTTCTGATCTCTATGTTCAGATCTAGAGAAGAGGCTAAATGAGGTGCATATCCCTGAGCCGTGGTCCTTTGTGCTGCGCCAAGAAAACCTCCAGACTAGGCGTTTAGAAGTTAACATTGACCGTGTTTGAAACCGGGTTTTATATGAACGACTACAGACGCAACAGTAGCGCCTATGTCCGAAACCACGCAGTCCTCACTCACAGGAGGCACCGTCGATCGTCTATACTCACCGATTTGGTCATTCCGCTCAAAGCAGACCGGTTCCAGCCCAGCTTCGAGGCAGGACTTGACAGACATCAGCCCCGCGACACCAGCACCAATCACCGCTACTCGCTTCACTGGCATCGTGATCCTTATAGGAGCGAAATGGGACCTCTGGTTTCGCCTTGAGTAGCTGTAGTCTGGAGAACCAGCAACCAGTTAAACAGGCCAATTAATAATTCTTATTCAGAATATCGGTCCTTCCGTTACGAACTGTCAATTAAAACTCTTTAGCCGAACTTAGGTGGCACAGTCCGTAGTTTTCTCGTGAAATGGAGGCAGCGGACAGCAGGAAAGCAGATGGTCACTCAGACCCCCGTGATGAAATATTCAATCCGCTCTCTCAGAAAGTGGAAAAGAGAAAAACGTTTTTGTTGAAAATGTTCAATCAACTTTTCTGCTGGTAAAAAAGGGGAAAGCATAATAACCATCTTTGAACCGTCAGCATTGGGTAAAAAAAAAAATCTGATTTTCATGTGGGAGGAAAGCCAGATAATTAGCCTTTTGGCTAATCGTTCGATCTGCTTTTCTGGTAGCAGAACAATAGAAAAGTAGACAATGCATTTTACAATAACACCCACACTGCTTTTCTGCTATTTTGACAGCAGAAATGCAGCTGGCCACTTTTGGACCGCCATTATTAACACCAGATGCAGTGCGCAACGCGGTCCCGACGCCGCAGACGGCAGGGGGGGAAGCACATTCATGTTTATTCTCATGATCATGCTGCCATTGTGTGCAGAGTCGCGAACCTTTGAAATTTGTACCGCTTTCTTTGGAGATTGTGTCCCGTGTTTTCAAGATCGCATGTTGTGCTTATGTGACCCCGTGGAATTAACAATCAGTCTCGGATCAGTCGGATCTTTCATAACCTGTCGTGTTCATTGACAGTGCCGGTCCACGGTACGATGTTTCTTGATCAAAGGACATATAACAAAAGCACGTCGTACGTGTCGGCACATATGGTGTATTTGGATTCATGATATCGGGAAAATTTTTTGAACAAGGAAGCGTGCACTCTAAAGTAACTCTTTGTGGGTGAACACGGAACCGCGTTGTTATGCAGATTGGCGGCAGCTCTCAACCGAAATACATGTATACCGAACAAGTCTGTGCGATAATTCGGCGTCGACAGCCCTGCCCGGGTGCATCGTGCCACGCTGGGTTAATGGTGTGACATTGCAATGGTATTAAATAATATCGACTCGGCGACTACGTGGGGAATTTCCCATCGCTGGCCGTCCTGATATTTAATAAAGGTAGACCTCCTGCTGTCCCAATCGTTCCAAAACAAAGACGACGGATGCCAGTAACTTTGTAACGTGAGGCATTTTTTTCTGGGCCCACACGTCCGCAAAAACACAAGCCGTATGTACAGCTGCGTAATATTTGATCTTCGCATTCCATTCAGGTCAAAGTGTGACCGAGTCAAGCCCCAATGCAAACAGTGTAAAGTCAACAATGCCCAGGGCTCACTAACAATAACATGCAATCGCAAGCCGACATAACTGGGGTTTTTCAAACCGAAATTAAATTACTCTCTTGTCCTTAATCTTCATGTTCTTTTCAACTTTTGGTGGGTTAGCCAGTTACATTTTTAATTATTCACGCAGAACAAACTTGATAACAAACCAGCATACAACAAAGGAATGTGATCGTTCCCATGGCTACTCGCATCCAATTTTCAAATGGCTTCCCTCTACTTTCTGTTGCACTTACAGGACCGTTTTTCAACCGTAATTTTATCAACTCTGCCCTCGGATGGAAGCCCCTAAACCAAAAGAATCGACACTTGCTCAAATTTCCACAACCCCTCCATTTATTTCAGCCAAACAATCTCCTTTTCCAAAACAAACCAAGTGGGTACGTTTTATGCTAATGAGATCGGCAGAAATGATGAGCTAGCTTGTTGTTGCTGTGATGTCATCTGAGGAAAACACTGCTTACTAGGGGTATACAATCCAAATTCTGAACCGAACATTTGCTCATTGAAAATAACCACGAGAAGAATTTAGTCACTGACCAAGTGTCTTGTACATGTATGTACATGTACATGTATTTGAAACAACGTATCACACAGACAAAGACAAGTTAAGCCCGTCGGCCAAGTGTCAAAAATTCTGGCATTCATTGCTTGAGCTGAAACATAAATGTGTATACCCGGAAATCACAGTACCATGTTTTCTTATGTTGCAAAATTTTCACTGGCACAAAAGTAATAGGTACCAAAAATGAGTGTTCCAAAACAACATTCGAAAATGAATAAGAAACAAAACGAGTGCACTCAAAGGACTCCATTGTATATGTAGCCTCGCAAGCAGGTGCATGTCTTCGTTCATCCTGGGTCAGTTTAAGGTTTCGCAGGGTAAAAATATGTCGTTTTTGCCATTTTGTGGGAATTTCCCTCCCGCTGACCCGCGATACACGCCGGTGCGGTGCGTGTGTTGTGACCTTTCGCAGCAAGTTCCGTACCACCGGCATGGATCGAGAGATTAATTACTTCAATGATATGCAAGGCCAAATCCAGACCCCAATTTTTTTTGGGGGGGGGGGCAAACAAGTAAGCAGCGTCACTGTTTCATTTTTGCATTAACCTATCGCACCGGTTCAAATTAAGCAGATGCTCAGAAAAAAAAATCTCGAACAAAGTGGCTCCGTCACCACCCATAATTAATTGGCACTTGGGGAATTCAGCACACTGCAGATCTTCGAGGATGAATGCATGCACCCTGCCCCCTCTCTAGAGAAAATCCTGCGTCCACCCCTTCTTGTATGTCCGCCGTCCTTCGAAAACTAACTCTAATGGTAGATGGTCATTACATTAACATCTTTTAATTTCAAAAGCCCCATGGCGGTCGGGTTTTCTCCCCAAGAAAATTCCATATTGTGCACCTGTATGGGGATGAGTGCACTTCACGCGTATGCCATGCCGTTATCGCCTGCTGCTGTGGGTACCAGCTCTGTCCTTATCTATGCGCGGTTTAATCATTCATCATGGAAAAATGTATTCACAGCCTAGTGTACACAATGGTTGTTGCATCATAGCTCCATATATGTGCAACACATATACGTTTAATATTTTAGAGATGTCAGCGAATTTCAGCATGCAGGCATAAGAAAAATGTCATGCTCTAGTGTCAAAGGAAAAAAAAACACACAGTTTTTGTTTCTGCGATCAGTAAACTGAACCGAACCCGGATATGTATGGTCAGTGAGCTGAGGCGGAGGCCAGCGAAAGAGCGCTGGAAATGTCTCTTTAAATAGATGTACTCTATGCGCTTATCAAAAATGACGTCACTGTAATGCGAGAGCAAAGAGCGACCCAGGTAGTCAGCGTGGGCAGTTGATTCCCCGACATCGAATATCGTGGGAGAGAAGTGAACGACAGCAACTTCCCTCTACACTCAAATTACCGTTTGAGCTCACTTGTTTTCAGACATGCAAAATACGAGGAGCACCGTTGGTAGCGAGCGAGTCGTCAGTGAGGCGAGTGCGAAGCAGGTACTGCGCCGCCGCGTTCAGGAACGACCAGACGATGCCGAATGTGTAACGGTTGACTGCCGCACGACTTGGGACGAACTGCTGCAGCAGAACCCGTGGCTTATGACACAGGTAGGTCAGAAAGGAACCGCGGTAATTTCAATGTGAACTGAAACTTCATTGACACACCGGCTACAGCAGAGCAAGCAACTTCTGTCGTCTATTTCAGGTAGTGTGTTAAAAATTTGCCGACTCCATTTCGTTCCATGAAGTTCAACAAGTCACGAGCTAATAGGCTGGCAGTCATCTCTGGTTTTTGTAGCATGAAATGACTGAGAATAATGATTTCTCTGTCCAGGGAGGGTAATCGCATGACAGGTTGCTCCCATCAGCCAATGCCCATATACTGTCTCCGGGCTGGGTGGAGTGTGTGTGTAGGGGGGGTAAAGTGGCTTGCACAGGGACATAAAATAGTGACTTGCAAGATATATATCCACGTGTCCTGTCTCAATAATGCTTCTAGAACATGCAACTAATGTATGCACTCTCGACGGTTCAAAAGTGTTGCGGTCATGGAACAGTTAAGCCTAATATGACATACATTTTTATAGGCCTATTATAGGATGAGAAAACAAGACTGGGGCAAATCCAGGGCCTCGTTTAAAAGGGCAGCTAGGTATTTATTTAAAGCACAGAATGTGCTTTGCTCGGCTTAAGAAAAAAGCAACTAAAGCAAAGCTATCGATAACCTTGTTTTTCAAAGGAAGTAAGCGCAAGCCTGTATTTGGCATCAAGGCACCTTTATAAATTTAGAGGTAAAGGAGAAACAGGCATCAGAGCGACTGAAAAAAATTCCTCCGACACTTTTGAACACGAAATATTTACTAGCTAAGATTAAATTTGATTGATTTGTGACTTGAAGTGTACGAGGAAAACCGTGTAGAACTGCCAAGCCTTACTGTCTCAAACCGTCAGTGCGGTCATTGCTACGAAGCTCGAAATGTTAATTTACAAGACTTCAAGTAACATAAATATCTCTCACCGTAGCTCAGCTTTCGCACAGTTATCTCGAATTCTGTATGATGAGAAAAATTTTCAAGCATAAAATTCAGTTTATAGTCCTCATGCTCAGTATGACGAGATCTATGTGTTTCCCCCTTCCACAAAATGAGGCCCCCAAGTGCGTTACTAGTTTGAAAACTACGGTAAGTTCAAAGGTATGCAGTCCATCGGTCGCAGTTATCCAAAAGTAACTGGCGAAACTGTCGAAAAACAGGCCTACTTGTAGTGAAAGGGTTATAGGACTAACCTCCGTGTAAATGGTTCTTTCTGACAGGTTATGCTGAAAAGAGAAAGATGGGGGGAGTCACTTCCAACGATGCATTTAAAGACGCATTTTTGGAAAATTGCCAACAGAGGCTCGCACAATCCTTGACTAGACATGCGCGCGGTTTTATTTATTTATTTATTTTATTAGATTATTTCTCATGCAAAACACAACGGTTACAATGAAAAATAAAAATATATCACAATATGGTTACTACTATCTAATTCAAAACATGATTTAGCGATTTAACGAGGTTCGTTCTCAGGTACCCTTCTTTGGATTTTGAACACAATCCTCAAAAATTATAAATGACGGACTGTACATGCATGGAGGAAGGAACACATCTTTAAATTAAGGGTTGAGTCTTTATAAGAAAATAAATCCGGTTAAGAGGCGCCCTGTTCTACAAGGGAAAAATGTTTCCTTTTATGTACAACAGTTGTGGTAGAAACAAGATAATATTTCACTGTTATTACCATCGGAATTCAATAAAGTTTTATACGTACCAGTGCAGAAAATTCAGAGGAAAAATTGCATTCGTTATCTTGTTCGCATAGCGCCCTCAAACGGTGAGTGTATTCATTACTCGAGTTTGATGACATTATATGCAACCCGGAGTTACACTTGCCTAATACAAAGTAATTTATCATTAGATTTAATTGTCCAAACCAAATAACCCAGAATTCGTAACCAACTGTTGGCCCACTTGTGTCGTTTAAAGTCTCGTGTGGACTTAAACTGGATGAAGTTGTGTAAGTGAATGAAAACAAGTGCCATGCTAACGATCATGGGGTATTATCATATATACGACATGATGTACGTTTATTACGAACGGTCGAACCTCGATAACTTACCTTTAAGTTCATGTAGGCCTATTTGTGCCTTCCTTGGAGTGTTTCCTGGATTCCTTGACCAGCAGTGCTGTGAAGTCACGTCCTATGAAATTAAAACTTTACGCACACTTATTTTCCGGCACAAATTTGTCAAGTTACAACGTACACAGCACAGGCTACTGTTGTACAAGTTTGTAGGGTTGGCTCCAGAAGTTGTTTGGCGCCCTCATCTGCTCGGCGCTGTGTGCAAAATAAATACATAGGCCTAATGGCAGAAATTTAACCATGACTAAATTAAACTCAGTTACAGGAACTCTGGGGATTGTAATTTGGGACCCCCAGTTTTTTGTCATTTTAATCTTATAAAACTAGCCAGCCCCCAGCCCCACTAGTGTGGCAGGGACTATCACTCCCGATCTATCCTTATGGATCGGGAGTGAGAGTCCTTGCCACACTAGTGGGGCTAGCCAGCCCCCAGAAAGCCAAAGGCATTACTCTCTTTATTGTGCTGACCCTATTTTTTTTTTAAATATCGAATTGTAAATTGCGAGAAAATGTCACTTCGTTACTGATAAACCAGTCATGCAAATTTGAATTTACCATGTACTAATATGTCTTGGTGTAAACACGCTCCGAGTTTTCCCTCATAATTTCCCTCAGAACTCAAAATGTAAATGCTTCAGAAATTTTCTTAGCTAAATTTCACTTTTTAGGACATGTTATCACTTTCTGATGGCTGTCATGGCTATTATAACATTTTAAGGGAAAATTTGTGTTTTCCACATGTGGAACTCTTTCCAAACTTTCTAACACGGATTGGTCAAATGATCAGTGATTGAATCAGTTAATGATTAGATTTTGGAGTAAAGTCCGAACGCTGTGCTACAGTACATGTGCATGCTGTTCAGGCCCTAATTAATTTTTGTAAAAATTTAGGGTATAAGGAAATCCGCCATGTCCGTTGAAATAGTGGAATACCTGGACTGACATATTCCAATCATATTTTAGTATTCACTTGGAATTTCAATATTTGTCCTGACGTTTCGAAGATGTTTATATATGCATAGGCCTCAGAAACTTTGTTGATAAGCCTTATTGCTAATGCCACGTGGGTGATTTTGCTCAGTGGAGGAACTAGAAAGGCATTGTGGGAAGGAAACGGGCAGTGTTTGCTCCTTTTTCCTTCCCACGATGCCTTTCTACCATTGTACAAAATCACCCATGCAGTATTAGCGACAAGGCTTATAGAAAAATGAAAAGCTTAATGCTTTAAATAGCCATTTGCCGAGGTGATTTGTAAAGCTCTGTTTTACTTAACGTCCATGACCATATAGTCGCCAAGGTCCGTTATTTCGCCACTTACCTTGAAAACCAATCAGACTTGGCAAAATTAGGGACCTGGCAACTATCCAGTCAGGCATGTTAGTGTTGGTCTGGGAAAACCCAAGTCTTGTGGCATATGAGAAGATTTGCCATCTACACGTATAGCTTGGTTTTGAAAGCCGACTATCGTGCAAGATACGAGAGCCTATAGATGCATTTAAATGTTTGTTGATGTAAGACTCAGACCCATACCCACCTGCTTTGTAGTGGGAATGACTGGACCACTTGACTTCTTCGGCTGTCAAGGTTGGAAAGTTCCATACACGGATATGCTGGTTAACACCTTGTGTACAAACTCAATGAGACTGGTCTGAAAAATTCTGTGTGTTTTTACATGAATACCTCAGTGTCTTCCTTGGTAAATTTGACTTTTGTGGTCATGCTGTTGTTTTGCGATGGCTGAAAGGTTTACCTGTAGGGGAAATTTGTGGCAGCCGTATGTATGGGCTTGTTTCCTCAAGATCTTCAGCTCGTTTGAACAGTCACAGACAAAGCGGCATTTTTATTTGTACCTGTCTTTATTTGCAGTCCGGTCTGGTGGTGAAGCCAGATCAATCTATCAAACGGAGAAAGCAACTGGGACTCATCCAGCTCAATGTGGACTTTGAGACTGCAAAGAACTGGATCCAGGATAAACTGGGATCCAGGATCACGGTAAAAGAAATCCTCAAGAAGCAACAAATTTCCAAACCAACACAGACACAAACTAACAATTTGTCCAAGTTGACTCTCTAAAGTACTCGGAATTTTTGTCTTCACAAAGATGAAAAGTCAATTATGAAAACTTTTCAAACTTGATGGAATAACTAATCACTTATTTTTACAAAATCAGCGAACTGAATGTATGTTGGATGGATCGGTTGATCTATGTAATGATCTGATCTGCCTTTGCACGATCTGTCCGTGTTGTTCCACAACAGACACTCGCCATCTCTGTCTACTTCGCAGATGTGGAAGAGTGTTTCAAAAAAGGGAAGTTAAGTTGGAGATTTCATGCAAAATTGACCGATAGTGCTACGCCATCGCGCGACCATGCTGATTGACCGATCACGCCCAACATGTTTGGATGCTTTTGTTTTGAATAAGGTGTCATCATGTAATCACCACACATGCCCTTTGCTATTTCTTGAGAGTTGTGACCGGCTTTTGAGAAAAAGGATGGGTTTAGAGGCAGATTTCTGTCTTGATGCATTTTACTTGTGCCTTGCTATATAATTGTAGAGCCAGTATTTTTGTACCATTCTTTTTCTTGTGCTGCATATTTTCAGGCTACGAGCATCCAAAATTGAAAAACAAACTGGAAGATTCCGAAGTTATCACTTACAATGAACACAGTCTAAAACTACCATTGTTACCTAAGTAACAATGGAAAACAAGCTATTAGTCTTTTTTCCAATAGATTCTATATCCTATGCAGCCACTAACATTTCTTTCATGCAAAATCTGACAAATTTGTGCACATTCAGCTTAAAATTAGCCATACAGGCAAGCTAAACTAATGTGTGCTCACAAAGCATCCTTTGGCTTTCTAAACAAGCTGCACAGTTCCCACACATTCATATTTCTGTTAGAATGAACTACAGGCCAGGGTGGACATCTGGGACATTCGCAAAGTGGCGGGGAGCAACCACACCATGCCAAGGAAAATAACTGCAAGGTGTACGTGCATACGTACTGGTCAAAGAAAAGACCGAGTAGCCCAGTCCTCTGACTGGCTGGTTTGCGGTCGCAGTTGTTTTCATCGGCGCAGTGTGGTCGCTACCTGCCATTTTACAAAAGTCCCAGATGTTCACCCCGGCCTGTTACAGTGAAAAATTTGACTGATTCTGCTGGCTTTTCTCTTTAAAGGTTGATGGTGTGGAGGGCACCCTGAAGCAGTTTATGATTGAACCCTACCTCCCCCATGGAGAAAATGAAGAGTGCTACCTGTGCATGTACTCCCACACAGAATCTCATGATGTCGTCCTGTTCCATCACAAGGGAGGGGTGGATGTTGGCAACGTGGATGAGGAGGTATTCCTGTTCTTTTTTTGTGACTCATTTTGTTCTTTCCATTTGATGTGTTGTATTTGAGTCCATCATAAATCCCTGAAAGTCCATCACAGGTCATCCAGTCTTCAGCCACTTCACTCGCTGTTTAAATGAGCTGTGACAAAAGCATTCTTTGGTCATTGCTGGTGCTGTTACTTGTGACTGGCCTTGTAAAACGACTGGCTGGATTTATGAAGGGACTTGTGAAAGGACTTTTGATGGATTGGACTCCAACACTGCCATTTGACATAGAAATTGATGCGAGCAAGAGTGCGTCACTGAATTTGTACCATTTGGGGGCTCGTCAGAACTTTAGGACTTAGCACAATTGTAGCCCCAACAAAAGGAGTCGGATCAGATTCTGCATATTTTGGACAAGGATGGCACCAGATTACACTCAAAACCCCTCTATGGACTCTGTTGTCTATGCCCCAACACAGAGTTTGAAAAGCCACTTGGNTTTTTAAATTAATTTTGGACTTTTTTTGCCCTGCCCGACATGTATTATAACACTGCATACTCAAAAAACCACAAACGTACTCGGGTGGGACTCGAACCCATGACCTCCTACTTACTAGTGCAGAGGTCTTAACCACTCGACCACCGAGCTTACCGGTGTCGGCTGGCTGGTTCAAGTCAGATGTAGCAGCGGGTACTGCAAACAACTCTCTCCAAGGATGGATTTGCTCTGGATTTACCAACATCTTCCCGGCGCAAATCCATCCTTGGAAACTTGGTTTTTGTTTTCTCACATGGGTAGGCTCTTCGCCTGTGTGTGGGATTGGAAGACGTGCCCCAAGAGCAGATTATTCAGGACACATTGCTGAAGAACGTCCCAAATACAAAGGCACAGTGAGTAAAGGGAAATGGGTCAGATGCAACAAAACATTGTCTGCAAGACGTCAGTTTTTTCCTAAATAGGCATTTTTGTGTAGGACTACGGATGCCCTCTTGATTATGCCAGGGTCAATAATTGAAAGCTTAGGGCTGGTTCATACTCGCTGCATTTGCACACACGCAGTGCGTAATGTGAACGACGCATTTCACGTTCACACTTTCATGTTTTTTCAAGTCTCGGCTGTGTGTGCGTATCCGACAAAAGTTTAAAATTTCAATTTGGCCGAATATGCATACATTTGGTGCGTACGCACCATCCATTATTTTCACAAACTGCGTGCAAGGACGCGCATTTTCATTACGCACTGCGTTTTCGTTCACACACTGCAGACACCTCAAAATAGACCTTCGCGCTGCATTCACAGTGAATACGCAGCGAGTATGAACCGGCCTTCAAGCTACTAAGCACCACGTTTCAACTTATTGACCTTAAATATCACAGCATTAGACCTGTTCTTGCAAACACCCTTACTGAGCTCTCTAGTTTAATAAGCGTGCTATTGAACCATCTCCTGACGTTTGTCCCAGATAGATTGAACGTCACTCGCATTGTACCCCATAATTTCCTTACACCAAGCCCATTGCTTACATCAGGCTGATATCAGTGTATTCAGACCGTAACCAGCCCTTAGGTAAAAGTACCTTTTCCTACCACTTCATCAGATTTTCAGATTTCTTTTTCTCTTTTGGAGCCAATAATTCTATACGTAAGAAGTTTATAGTCCTAATCTGCTTGCTTCATCCTTGATTGTTTATTTGCTCGTCTGAATTTCAGAATGTTGGGCAGTTTCATTCAGTCTTTCATCAAGTGTTTCAGAGAGCTACATTTCACCTACTTGGAGATCAATCCACTTGGTACGTAGCGATACCAAAAAAGTATCAGTTTTTATTCAGTTTGATTGCATCCTGCATTTTAGAGTAAGGGAGTTTCTTCATATTTGCAACTCCGTTATCACGTAAAAGACATATAGAATATAAGTTCTTTTTCCAGTTGGGAAGTTGCTGAAGTATTTGAAAACTTCAAGTTGCATTTCAAAAGTTTGAGGTAGAAATCCTGATGCATTGTTCATAGTTCCTTGAAAGTTCCATTTCCACTTAGAAAGTTCCAGTCGGAAATTATCAACCACTGAGTTGTCTGATTTCTTATTTTGCACACAACTATTTTTTGGTCACAACTTCAAAGTTTTGCATTTTGGATGTCGCTACAAATTCCTCGAAAGTTCCATTTCCATTGAGAAAGTTCTAGCATCTGAACTATGAGCCAAAGTAGTTTGGTCGCTTAATTTGTATGTAGACTTACAGATCCATGTTGGTAAAATGTTCCTTGAAAGTTCCACCGCCCCTAGAAAGTTCCACATCCCCTAGAAAGTTCCACATCCCCTAGAAAGTTCCACATCCCCTAGAAAGTTCCACATCCCCTAGAATGTTCCATGTCCCCCAGAAAGTTCCAGCATCAGAATTACCAGCCAGTAAGTAGTCTTTGTTTCTAATTTTGCATGCAGTGGTCACAGATTCAGAGGTTTATATTTTGGATGTCGCCGCCAAAGTTGACTCCAAGGCAGCACCCCTATGCAAGGAGTCTTGGGAGCAACTTCAGTATGCGCCATCACTGTGCCGAGACCTCTTGCCTGAGGTTTTTACTCGTCACTAGATGTTCACTTCATTAATTAAGCAGCTTTAAACTTTGCCCTGATTGATTTTGTTTGGAGGTTGTTTGCCGCATTTCACTTTGTCCATAAGGACTCAAACTAAGGGGGCATGCGGCCTGATGGTCAGGGTTTGTAACTTCCGATCACAGGGTCTGGGATTCGAATCCAGCTGGTGGCAGCATGTTGTGATCTTGGGCAAGTCATTTTACCCCTATGTGCCTCTCTCCACCCAGGAGTAAATGGATTCCAGACATAGTTATGTTTAGCCATTTGCACCGAGATGGTAGCATTGGGCTAGTATACTCCCCAGGGGCTGAGATGGTTTCAGGAATGTTCAGATGATGTGAGCCCAATGTGCAGGCATAATGATAATAGACCAGCACCTTTGAAATGCAGATACTGTGAGACACCGTGCACCTTATGCATGATATTATGATTTGATTTATTGATATCTGTTCATACGACAGCGCATATACCGCCAGAAAGCCATTTGCGAGTTAAATTTGAATAAAATCTGGTACACTGAGTTCACGTGAACATAACAATTTGAATTCTCCTTACTAAAACCACTGTTGCTATACCTTGTGATATGGGGCAAACTTTTACTTTGTTACATGTACATAAGAGACGCCTTGCAACAATACACTGTTCTTAATGGATAAGAAGGGCACAAAGGAACCAGTCCATTCCAGAGACGGTGGTCACTATAAAAAAGCTTGCCCCGAATCACAAGTTATAGCAACAGTGTCTTTAGTCTGGGGAATTCAAATGGTTACGTTTATATGCAATCAGATAACACAGTGTACCGGATTTTATTCAAATTTGACTCTCCAATAGCTTATTACAGGATGATAATGAGTGAAGAAGACAATGAAGAAATGCTCAGTTCTAGAGGTGGGAGGAAATCGGGGAAAACCCACGGACTGACAGCTAGGGCCTGAAAACCCAATCCACATGCGGACCGAGCCGGATTCGAACCTGGACCGCAGTGGTGGAAGGCGAGGAAAGAGACAATATGCCAACTTGATTTCCCGTCATTATCACTACTCAGTGAGCAGTAGGAGGTGGTCTGATGTGGTTGGATGTCTGACCATTGAATCCAACCTCTTCTGACTTGACTTACCATGTCAGGGTCACCTGTGTGTACATCCATTCTTACAGTTGTGATTTCACGACAGGAACTCCATATCAGCCAACTTGCCGCAGGAACGCCCTGCTCCATGAACCTGACCGTGCTGAACAAGACTGGTAGAATCTGGAGCCTTGTGTTCGGTGGGGGAACATCTCTGGTCATCAGGTAAGCTTATCACAGTACCCACCTACTTGCTTACCCAGAGATGTTTCTCTGCTGAGAATCTTCGGATAGGAGTAACCAAATTTAGCCTTTCACGGCAGTTCACATTTTACAGCAAGATCCCAAAATCAGTTATTGAATGTTAGTTGGTTTTTGATTTTATAATAGATTTTTTAAATTTCTGAAGAAAGCCTGTAATGGGAAGTCGGCATTATTCCAATAAATGGTATGCATCGTTTGCTTTGTCCAGTGACACGGCTGCCAAGCTCGGCGTGCGAGACCAAGTGGCCTGCTACACCCAGCACTCCGGCCGGCCGTCGGTGGACCAGATGTACAGATTCACCAAGACCATGATCAAGTTGATGACGGAGGTGCCGCATCCGGAAGGCAAGACGTTTATGCTAATAAGCAACGTCAACGACGCCATCACAGGGATCAGGCTCTGCATGGGAAAAATGCATGTGAGGTTAATTCCAAACTGTCCCCTCCCTTTTATGTCTCCTCCGCCCCCCCTCAACAAAAAACCCAAAAGGAAAGAGGGAGAGACGGTTAGCTTAGAATGAACCTAGAGAAAGCTGCAAAGACGTGAACAGTATAAAAAAGACGAGTGTTCAGCCCGTACACCATGGTTGGAACTGTTTTTGACGCAGTGACATCCAATTACTGTTAGGGTTAAGAACCTGTTGTAATGCAGAGCCAACCTGGCCAAGCAACCTCACGGTCTCAGCCAGCCAGATTCAACTATAACACTGAATTATTGAGCTGTCTCTGATCGGTGCAACCAGGAGTGCTCAGTTGGTACACTATGTTGGGAATTCTTTTTGACACAATGACATCCAATTACTGTTAGGGTTAAGAACCCGCTGAATGTTGTACCAGAGAGCCGACATGGCCAAGCAACCTTACAGTCTCAGCCTTTCAACCATGATGGCCAGATTCAACTGTAACGCTGAATTATTGAGCTATCGCCGACCTGTCCAACCAACGCACCTGTCCACACCGCCAATTTTTTTCATTTGGCAGATCACTTCAGTTCAACAAATCTTGTTTCAATTGCTTCACATTTTCCCATCATTTTGATAATCTCCTATGACTACTAACAATGCAGTTTAAAGTCCTGCTCCTACACTGTCCTATATCTTGCAACGAGGACCTCTAACTGAAGCGTCAAGTTGAGTTTGTAATTCATGAGCCTGTTTTTCTTGCAAAGCTGACTTCTTGATCGCCATGAATTCCGCTTCACGGTCACTTTCGAATGAACTGTGACATTGGCCATTCCCAATTTTGAATACAGTTTAAAATTGTGGCCTTCCTGGTCTCTGACCGTCTTCGCCAGCGTATCCTCCAATTTTGCTCCCTGTCTTTCCTCAGGGAATTGCAATGGCCCTGCAGGAAGACAAAGAGAAGCTCCAAGCCAACAACATCTCGCTGTTCATCCGCCGGTCCACGCTGGCGACGGTGCCCACCGGACAGATGCCGACCGCGCTGACCGATCTCGGTGAGTTTGTGTAGTGCCACACATGTGTAATACATGCGCAATACTGTTTTCCTGCCATCTTTCTGCCGAGACAGTTTCCACTCGGTGCTTGAAAAGCAGGCTTATCATGTTTGGTTTTTTTCCCAAGCCCATGCATGATCATGGGCACCCATGAGGGCAGATGTGGTCATGGGTAGCCATTTGCACCGAAATGGCAGCATAGGGTCAGCATCCTCGCCAGGGCGCTGAGTTGGTTTCAGGAATGTTCAGATGTTGTCAGCCCAATGTGCAGGGATAATGATACCAGCTCCTTGAAGACCTTTATGGTGGATATGTTTTAGCGCTTCATAAAAAATGGCCATTTGTGCAAATCATGCCAAACAAAATAACAATGTCTCCTTCAAATGTTTCAAAATAGAATTTGAATGCACGTTGCAGCGACATTCTGGCCTTTTTTTTTGGCTCTGAAGGTTTCCCCACACCTTGGCCAGATAAGGCACATTCTTCCTTGTCAATCGGTATGATTTGATTATTTTCAGATGTGCCCGTCCATGTGTTCTCTGTTGCTACGCCCGTGACACACCTCATCCAGCGTGCGCTGGGGCTACATGATGCTCCAACTTCCACTGATGATGTGAATATGATATACCAGCCACTGTGGCAGGTAAGTTTGAGTTTAGTGACCGACCAGCTGTCTCCCTTTGATCTTTTTTCTTTTTTTTTGGCAAGATTTGCTGACCAGAGGCCTCTCATCCTGAGTTTGTCCGTTAGTTATGCCTTCTATGTGGTTTCTGTGCTCATGCTATGTTTGTAACGACACTTGATTCACTGCATTGACCGTAAAAAACGGAGACGTCCAATCTCAAATCTTTGTTTATTGGTGTCTCATCCGCCGAGCAATAGCTTTCCCAAGATTTAAGGTCAAAGGTGATGGGAAATAGCAATCATCAGAGTGGTGATTATGCAAAGTTGACCACATTATCAATACGACACCTGAGGAAGGTAAATTTATCTTCTCATTTTGTTAAAGCCGCCGACTGAATCCAACAAAGTCGTTGCCAAGTACGACTCTGATGAACTCTTCAACGGAGAAACGAGGGTAGGCACAAATACACTCTTTACCAGTTGGGCTTCTTGGTATTTCACCCCCTCCACCAATGCTTAATTATCCCCACCCTTCTGTCCCCACTTCTCTCACCGCTTCTCTCAGAGAAGGGAGCTCAAAACTGCCTGTTTTTTGTCTATTTACCTACTAACTTTTCGTAGTTGGCTTGTAGGCCTTTTTGGCCAAAGTCCAGCCCTGCAACAAACTGCAGCAGGTATTGACGGCAAATTGTTCGTTCTTAAAAAACGAGGAATCTTTTTGATAACGAGTCATAATTAAAGGCTCCACATCCACGCTAAATTCCAAACCTGGGCGTGGATTTTGATGGTCAATAGCGTTCAACTTACCCAACGCAGTCACTTCATATTTATGCAAATTTCACTCGCGTCTGTTACTATTCGTTGAAAAAACATGATCATCTGTAGTGCACCCTCACCTCCCACAATGCATTGCAGTCACGTCGCCATGTTCATCCTTTTCTCAGCGCTGTTAAGTAACTGATATGCCTTTTTAGGCATTTTCAGCTCTCTGAGTTTTCTGTTGACGCTACATGGCTCCCTGTCGACTTGATTATCTATTCCTTCTTCTGAATAAAGTATTACCTTGATTTTCATCTATTTGTTGGTAAGACTGTTATTTTCGTGTGTTCTTGGTGTTCTTGTCTTCTTCAGTCTCTTATTAATGCACCCTGCAGGTGTTTAGCATGTTCATATTCCAGCTATGCCCATGACTACCCGACCGATTATTAACAGGCCTTGCCGGCTGCATTCAGGGGCACCCACTAGGATCTGGCTAGGACCCGGGATGAGGATAAAGGTCTAACCATTTGATTAGAGGCACCTGCTAGGACCTGGCTAAGAGCTCTGTCTCCTTGGTCAATCGCTGGCCTGCTAAACTAGCCGGGACTCCTGAGAGTACGCTCCGCCTGAGGTCTCCCCTGCTCATCCCGCCATCACTGTGAAATATGCCACGCCCATCGACCGCCATAGCCCAGAAAAATCCAAAATGCAATGGCACCAGTATTCCTTGGCCACTCCAGTGGGCATCGGCCGCCGTTCTTCATCGGGGAAGAACACCACTTCACCGGCAATTTTGACAGAGTGTACTTCCACTCACCCAGACACTGAAGACACAAGAGCAGGCTCCCCGCACTCTGCCGAGTCTATCCCACCTGGTGCACTGTCGGGCTACGGCACCATGACACCCTCAAAGACTTCAATGGGCACCGCGGAGCCCACCAGTCCTCTACGCCACCAAGGCTTTAGATCACTACAGCCCAACCGTGGCTCCGGTTTTCAAGTTGTTATCTCTGGGACATCCGACCATGCTTTAACTGATCCTTCAACGTGGAACTGATTTAGCTCACACCGGCCAAGACCAGGAGTGCTCTTCCGGCGATCAGTCCCCTCTGGTCTCTTCTGCCACTTCAGCCATCGGATCACCCATTCCTAAGTTGGGCAAGCGTTCTTCTTCATTGAACTCTTGGAAGCCCAGGAAAAGGCACCTCTCTGAACATCAGGATCCTCCCTCCACAGCATGGATGTCAGCCTTCCAGTCCATCGGTGAAGCCCTAATGGCTCACGCTAATGCGTAGCTAATGCCTCGACAGCAATCCCCACCCCCGGCCTCCACAGCCCCGGGACCTGCTCCTCACAGGCTAACCTCCTCCTTCCATGACAGTGAGCCACGATGACACTGGGTGAGATACCAACCGGGACTTGCACCAGGTAAACACTCCCCTACCAGAGTAGACAGCTACCCACGGCAGCACCCATGGATCGGACCACGGCAAGGCTTTGCCCCAGACTGGCCAAGGATGAGATTGATTCTGTCAGTGGTCGCACTCCTTCGAGAGCTGCCTCTGCCTTCTCCGGCACGACGCGATTCAAATCCTTGGCTTACCATCAGCCTCACCGCCAGGAGAAGACAGTGGTCACCCTTCATATAAACAGCATGCAGGACAACTATGGTGGCTAAAGTAGGCTCACCCAAACGCTGGACTCCCATTCTTATGGTCGAAACCCGGAATAGTGATAATGACCGAAGCGTCGTCGCATGGATGGGGGGAGGTCTCCTTTTGGTGACGGGGCTGCAGTGCATTGTGGGAGGTCAGGGTGCACTATGGATGATCAAATCTTTTCAGCGAGTAATAATAGATGCATGGAAATTTGCATATGTAGTGACTGTTTGGGTAGGTGTTCTCTAGTAGACTCACTGTGGAGGGGAGTATATTAAGTGTTTTGGGAATGAAGGTGTCAATACATTCCGTTTATTTTAGACTTCAAACTTGGTGAAATGTTCTCTTATTTCATTGGTGCAGGTAATAATCGTTGGACTGATGAACGAAGCCGTACAGGGCATGCTGGATTTTGACTTTGTCTGTGGGCGGGGAAAGCAGTCAGTTGCTGCCATTGTAAATCCAGGCGGGTAAGAAAGTCATGAGATTGTAGTCAGTGATGTTTACATTTTACAAATGACAGTCTTTTCACTTTGTCATCGTCCTTAACCACTTCCTGCTGGGGATTCTGGATCCGGACACGTATGCTTTATATGTGTGGCCGGGGTCTCCAAACTCGGACAAATGGAACAGGGTCTTGTAACAAAAGACTGTAGTCGGAACAAAAGACCATGCTGCTGGGCATTACTGACATTTTTTTCACTCTCAGAAGTGGAAATAATCCAGCCTTGTTTTGAAACAGTGTACTACGGTTTGGGGCATTTAGAGCCATTTAGATTACCACTGGGGACAAAAGCTCTCCACCACCGCAGCGATGAACCACACAGCACTGCTGCATGCTAATCTGGCCCCTATTGAAAAGAGGTCAGCAGTGCACTGAGCCAGGTTCGTGAACAAAAGAAAGTTACATAAAACCGCACAATCTGGGCTCTTTTTACAAGGCTGCAGGTCTAGCTGAAATACTTGGGCGTCAGTAGCTTTTGTCCGTCAGGGTAGAGTGGAGACCAGAGAGTCCTTCGTAAAGATAGGAATTTTTTAAGAATTTTGAAAACAGAAAAAAAAAACGATAATTATCCCGGCCTAGCATCATCAACATTGATAACTGCCCCCGGCAGCAAGTGGTTAAAGTTGAAGCAGCAAAATAGTGCAGACACTTGCAGTGTGTTAGGTAGTTTTATGTTCACCGAAGCTGGTTTTGTGAAAGTTAGGTAGTTTTATGTTCACCAAAGCTGGTTTTGTGAAAGCTGTATTGGATTGAATATTTCTGTAAAATTTGCATTAATCCCAGGCCTCTGAAATCAGTGGAGGATTTTGCGGGATTTGGGAAAATTCGTGGAAAAAAAAATGACCCGAGCATTTGGGTTAAAGAAACAATGCTTAGCTGAAGATGACGTGTGGAATAGACAGATTTATCACACCTTGGTATTTTGTTTGCTTTTAAATTTGTCCCTACAGTGAAGACAAGGAAGAAAGATTCTTGTGGGCTGAAGGCCAAGTCACCATTCCAGGTGGGTATCTATACCGATCATGCCAGCGTTAAATGTAGAGTGTTGCTCATTGCTGAATGGTTCTCGTCTTAGGATTCTTTTGCCTCATGAGAAACCTTGCGCATTTTCACTGCTTATAAATGTCCACATTTGTGCTGGAGTTAAGTGCCAAATCTGCGAAGCCTGGAAAGGACCTCCAGTTTGATTTCATTTTCTTTTTTTCTTTATGGACAGTGTACAGCAGCATAGAGACTGCTCTGTATAATCATCCGGACGCTAGTGTGGTCGTTAACGGTGCTCCTGGGAGGGAGGCCTTTCTGTGCGCTGTCAAGGCGGTCAAGTGCAGTCATCAGGTGATTTCCAATCTCCTCTTTGTACCAGGGCCCTCTTAATGGTAAGAGTAGGGGGGGGTAAGGATGCTTGAGGCCCCCTCCCCCTGCCACTCTGCATTCCTCTCTGCACATTCAATTGAATGTATCTGTGCACAATTCAGTTGAAAATTGATTGGTGCACATTCAGATGAAAATTGATTTGTGCACATTCAGATGAAAATTGATTTGTGCTCATTCAGGCGAATATTGATTTGTGCCCAATCAGATGAAAATGGATTTGTTTGTATTTAGCTTAGAGTTGATTTATGCACATTTAGTTGAAAAGTGCTTTGGGCATATTCATTTGTGTAAGTTGATTACTTGGGATTTTACTTGCAGAAAAGAAAAATAAGCCTGCTGTTCAGGGGTAACATTTCTCGGTGACAACATGTTTAAAAACCCAGTCAACAACTTTTTTTTTAGATTCGCTGTGTTCTGATGATAGCAGGCCATATCCCAGATCGACAAACAAGAACTCTGGTTCAGATGGCTCACAACAATGGAGTCTTAGTCGTAGGACCCTGCATGGTAAGACAAGCTTACGTATAACTCCAACTTGACTTGAATAGGCGATAGGTGAAAACCATTTTTGCGATAACAACTGTTGTACCGATGTGCTGTGTGTGTGTTATGGTTTAGCAATGAAAGCTTTGGAATAGATGTTAGGAACTGAAGTTGGTCAACTTGAAGTACTCATATGATGAGGTACTAAACTTGTTGAAGGAATACTGTTATTGGCTCAAGAAAGAATTTGCCTTTGTGTTCTGGGCTAAGAAAGTCATGAAGGCCCCCAGAATAGAATGGCATTTGATGCCAATATCCTAGCTCTAGGCGAAGAAAGAAAGCTTAGCATTTCGTACTCAGTTGGCTCATCAATCTGATATTCTTTCTTGTGATGAAGCCGGCTATGAGTCTAATCTTTGGAAATACTTAAGCCTCTTTTTTCAAGACCTACAATCATCTGCTATCCTGAAAGAAAATTGGCACAAGTCCATTGTGTTGATAGAAGTTCTGCTTCGAGATGCATGCAGGCAAATAATCTATGCCTTCCCCTCTCCCCGACAGCCATTGCACAACTTGCAGGTCAACTTCATCAAGCCGGGCAGCTTCCGATGCAATAAGCATGGCAACATCGGCGGGCCGATGGACGATCTGGTCTCGCTGAGGCTGCACCGGCCGGGCAGCGTGGGACTGGTCACCCGCTCCGGGGGCCTGAGCATAGAGCTGTTGGTCAGCATCGCCGGAAACACAGATGGGCTGTACCAAGGAGTGTCAGTGGGTGGCGGCAAGTAAGTTGGCTCAGTGAAGGAAAACATTTCCAAGGGATTGAAAGAGTTTAAAGTTTTTGCCACAGAAACAAAATAAGTGAAACAAAAGTGTGATGGGACAGTTTGAAATTTGAACACGTTAAGCTGCCTTTGGACTTGGAAGCCATAATTGGCTGAGCAGTAGGTGCTTATCAAGATTTATTGGGTTGGTAGCATTCATTGAAATCATAGTTTATTTGACAAGCCGTCTTAATTCTTTTAACGTTTTCCTTGAGATCTCTTTTTTGTTATGCTTCATATACTGCCAAAGTTTGCTTTTTTGTTTGAAAAATAACTTTAAATGCAGAAGAAGAAATCCTTATTCATATTTTGGGGCTATATTTATTACTGAGTGGTTTTAAATACTTCCAAGCCGTGTTTTATTGTCTGATAAAAAAAAAGGCCCACATGCTGGGTCCTGGACCTTAGTGCTCAAACAAAAAGTATTTATAAAAGGAACATCCAGTCTTACTGGTTCTAAAAGTACTTTTAGGTCAAAACGTGATGATTCTGGAGAAGATTTTGAAGACTTCGCATTTGTTTGATCTCCAGGTACACCGGGACCTCGTTCATGGATCATCTGATGTCCCTGGAGGCCAACCCAGACGTCAAGATCTTGCTGCTGCTTGGAGAGGTAGTGCTCAGCAGTCGATATCTCTTTGGTCGCAATTAATCTCATCAGCCACTTGTGTTGCTACATTCGTTGGGGGCCTGGGTTTCCATGCAAGTTTTCTTGCACATCATCAAGCAACCTCCCAAATTAGACTGAAAGTGGTGTGTACCAATTGCCGAACAATACAAAATGCTGAGAGGTCTTCCACACTTTCAAAATTGCAGAATCTGGAGAGTTTTGCAATTTTGAATTTTTGCTCAAACTGAGCTTCAATTTCTTCAAAGCCTTTAACCCTAACAGCCCCGAATCCTCCAATTTTAGGATGATTTTGCCCACACCCCAGGGAGTTAGGGTTAATTCGGGGCCAAATTTGGGGTTCTTCTGAAGGGTTTGAATGACCTATCTCTGATTCAGTTGCCGCATTGATTAGCAGTAGATTCCACGTAAAGATTGCTCATCTTCGTCAGTCTGCTTCCCACTACGGCCATTTTGCTACATGGTTCCCCCTTTCACTGTTGTTTTTTGATAGTTTGGTGGATGTGAAGAACATGACGTCTGTGAGGCTTTGCGCAGCGGCCAGCTCAGCAAGCCCATGGTCGCCTTCTGCATCGGCGAGTGCGCAGATATC